GAAGAAGAGGCTCGTTTGCTGGAAGAGTCTCGGCGACGTGCTGCTGAGCGCAGAGCTCCCGTTGCTGGCGCTGCTCCAGAGATCAGCCACACCCCCAGTGACCCAGCTTCTCAGCGACGACAACAGCGTGCCCAGGAAGCCAGTGGCCACACCCGGATGCCATCATCATCCTTGGCCCAGCAGCAACCCTCTGCTATCCCACCTCCACTGAGACCTAGAAATGCTCAGACCCCGCAGAACTTTAGCTCTACGCCCCAGCCGGGTGCCGGAGCAGCCCCATCGCAACCTGGCGCGGACCCGACATCACAAGCCATGGGCTCCACTCGGGTTAAGAATTCGTTTCCTCATGCTTTTGAGCGCTGGGAGGCCCTGTCTGCGCACTGGGAAGGTATGACCAGCTTTTGGTTGCGCAGGCTTCAGGAAAATACAGATGAGGCTGAGCGAAACCCAATATCGTCTCAGCTCTCTCGCCAAGTTGCAGACTTGTCGGCTGCAGGCGCCAATCTCTTCCATGCCGTTGTCGAACTGCAGAGACTGCGTGCCAGTTCTGAGAGGAAGTTTCAACGTTGGTTTTACGAAACTCGTTCTGCCGAAGAGCGTCATCAGGAAGTCAATGCTACCCTGCACGCTCAACTTGAGCAGGAGCAACAGCGACGAATTGAGGCTGCTGACAATGCGGCGAAATACGAAGCTGAGAACGCCAAGCTTCAGAAATTGGTTACCGAAATGCGACGCGAATTGCTTATCTCCAAGGAAGAAGCCCGCCGGGCGTGGGAGGAGCTTGGTCGTCGCGAACAGGAAGAGCGTGAGCGTGTCGCTGCTTTGCAGCAGGGCGCTCCAACCACTGTTGGGGGTGTGCCCGTTGTCGTGATGACTCAAAGTGTCCCGAGCCGTGAGCCAAGCCGTCACCAGCGTTCGCAAAGCCAGCAAACCGCCGACACTTCGGAATACATCGCTGCCCAAGGACCTCAATACCCCGACTATGCTCAATCCACGACTTCTCAACCTCGCGCTTCTTCGCCGGACAACCACCCAGGATATTTCGTTCCGACCAATGAACCTCCTCGCCAAGCTCAGTATGCTGCCGAGTCCGAAGCTGGTTACGACGAAGGTACGTGTTCCTGTACCTGACACTGCCCAACTGATGTGAGCAATATGCTAACCGAGAAGCAGATGATTATGATGAAACCCCGACTTCTCAAGCTGAACAGACAAATTACCCACCGTCCAGTTCCCAGTGGGCAGGCACGTACACTGGACAACCCGACTACTCAGGACAAAGTTTTGCGGCTCCCGGTTGGGAACAAATGCCTCGACACCACCATCCAACTCGGCTCAGTGACGTTCTAGAGGAAGACGAGCGCAGTCGGACATCGGCGAGCCAAGTCAGTCGAGCCTGACAATGACAGTAATGACTTCAACAACAAACCCTGCACAAATTATGTTCGGCATAAACGACCATGACCCAACGTTTCATGAGACAGGACACATATTTCTGGCTTCGCTCGCATAGAACAGATTTCTCTTTCTGCGGTACTGTTTTGGGTGTTCAACGCATCGACTGACGGTCTTGGTTTCTTCGGCATCAAGACGTGGGGGCTACTATTTTCACAAACTCGCATTAATCACAATTGTCCATCTCATCCCCATACGACTCTCGAAGCTTTCTCATAGATCTCGTATCTTGCGGCAAAGCTTTGAAGGTGGTACAATACTCACGACATATGTGTGCATACGACTTTGCGGTGTTTCCGGCATTCTGGCTTTTTTTTTCAAACTTCATTGGCGCGGCGTTTTGTTATCATGCGACCAAGACAGGCGTGGTGTTTTTCTCAGGGGAAAGCATTCCATTTTGATGCTT